GGTTTAGAGTTCAAGAAAACAACTAATCAACATCCATGCAAAAAGGGAAACTAAACACTCATAGACAAGCATTTAGCAAATACAACATGGATATCGACAAAAAGCTCAAAGGGGTTACTAATGATCACACTCTCACAAGGTGAATTAACTTATTTGGCCAAGTTAGTTATGTCCAAAATGAAACAAAAAAAATTCCTTGATCATGTTCAAGCTTTCATACAATCAACACAAACAAAAGATTAAGCATAATAAAATCCAGTTAAAACAAGAATTATGGTCTCCAGCATATGTGAACAATAGAAAGCTACCTCACAAAAAGGGTAGGAACTAAAGTGATTCACAAATGAACAAGTATACAAAAGAATGAATAGCATAAAAATTGTAAAAAGTCTAAGTATCATGAATATTCTAAAGTATAGAAAGCGGTAAACACATACTTCGCAAGTTAAAACGATCAAACTTGAAAAATCACCTCAATATTCTACAAGTTACCGGACCAAAACTTGAGTGAAAACAACAACAAAAGAATTAGAAAAATAATGGCAAAATACCCTTTTTAGTCCTTTAAGTTTACCCCAAGGTCCATTTTGGTCCTTTATCTAAAAAAAGTGTCAAACTGGTCCTATAATTCTTTCAAAAGGAGCATAGGAGTCCTTTCCGTCCATTTTAGTCCTTTTTGGTTCATTGGAGAAGCTGCAAAATAAGCTTGATGGAGCAAAGATGGAGATACATCATCTAAAGGAAAGGAAGGATGGACTGAAACATAAGATAATGGAGTTACAAATTGAAATAAAGAAGGATGGGCTGAACCAAAAAGGACCAAAATGGACGGAAAGGACTCCTATGGTCCTTTTGAAAGAATTATAGGACCAGTTTGACACTTTTATTAGATAAAGGACCTAAATGGACCTTGGGGTAAACTTAAAGGACTAAAAAGGGTATTTTGCCAAAAATAATACTCCTACAAAATTTCAATGTACAAAATTTACAATATATACAACGAATAAAACTCCTCAAGCTAAACACGACAAGCTTTCAGAAAACACAAATTGACATGACAAAACAAATACAAATAACAAGTTGAAAAGTGAAGATTTGAAATTCAGAATATTTCCTTGTTTTAACTTGTTAAAGCACAAATCACCACACACATAAAAAAATACAAACAAAATGCTTGTTTTACGTCGTAAGCTCGACGCCTTTATTGTGTGAGCTAGTAACCTTCTCTCATCATGCCATGGTATTGTCACACCGTGCAAACTTAAAGAAAGTGTCCTAACAATCACACAACAAACATTACAAAAACGAGATAATTCACAATAATACGTGAAAACACATATATGCACAAATATCATATACAAGTTAATGTACAATTTCTATACAACATATACATTAATTACAAAACTCAAAAACAAAAGAATTATCGTAATGCAAAGACAATAAAACCAATCCCCAGCAACAACGCCATTTTGTTGAAGGCAGTGTAGCGGCAAGCAATAAAAGTTTTGGAAATATTTACCCGTGAATTTATCATGTCCACAGAGATTGGTTATTTAATTGTCGTTCGACAAATCTCTCGTTAATGAGTTTGGGGATTGTTGCACCCCAAAATTTTCCCTCCTAATTTCTTTTATCTGGCTTAGACTTTTGCATTCACATATTTTCATTAGGTCATCTTCACTAACATAGCATGTATTTGCATTGAATAAAGCGTCGGAGGTTCAGAAGTTTGGTAGGTGTACAAGCTAGGGTTTTTACAGTGGATTGAGATATAAATGTTCAATAAAGTTTGAGTTCCTTGGTTCGTTCCTCAAGTGGTGAATTATGAATTAGGTCCTCCTCTTTCCCAAACACATGTTTTTGTGTATGATATGAGACTTGGCGCCAATGATAGGGTTCAAGTCATTCAAATTGGATTTCTTTCAAAGGCATGTGCATCATGTATATGGTTCTTATGAATCATCGAGTAAGAAGCTTCATTGTTGTGCTTACGCATATCATCGAAACTAGGGTTTGTTTCCCAATTCATGTGGCTCACTATCATCCAAGGGCCGATTTGATCATTTACTTGGATTACAAGGCATAAAACATGGTTTTGATACAAGAGAATAGAGTTTAGATTCGACTATATCTCACTCCATTAATTATAGATCTGTGTATCATGTTTCAAAGTTACTTTTCTGGTTAACTTTGGGCTTAGGAAGTAAAGCATTCGGGAGTTGAGATTTAATTCTGAGTCTATTAGTTTATTAAGCAAGCACTCCATTTGAAGTTACCTGAGATTCAACTTGTCATGAACGTTCGAGTTGCAGATGAGGATTGATTTAAGATGAACATGGAATATAATTTTTTAATACGATTCGAGAATAATTCACTTAACTTGCTTGGAGAACTAGTTAAAAGTGGTGTTTTATTGATTGAGGTTAAGGTGTTCGCATCCAATAAAAGCTCATTTCTTCTGATTCTTTTGGTTAATTCTTCAAGCAGTGAAGTGAGGAATTAGGGTTTGTAATCCTTTATGGTCAGGCTTGGTTGGGTTTTTCGTCTGAGGTGTATTTCTAAATACAATCAAGTGATTTTCTCAAGGATGAATATTTAGATTTAAGATTTTCTATGTGGAGGACGAATCAAGTCGTCTTCTCGTATGGGGTTTCCATCCTTTAGTCAAAGTGTGGTTTATCTGATGATGGCTATTGGAGACTCGTCTTTCATCAATTCAAGGTGCACTTGTTGCTTAAATCACAAGTCACTGATTATGGCATTGATGCACTAGATTCATCTATTCTTTAGTCAATCAATTAGGGTTGGATGCATCATGATCCTAGGTATATTGTCTGGTAAGTTTTTGTTGCTCAAGACTCGATTTGTGAATAATTGGTACAAGACAGTCCTTTTAGGATGTTCATTCGAAGTCTCTGGATCCAAATTGGGTTGCTAAAGTCCATAATCGAGAGCTCATTAGAACTTTGAGGTTTTAGCAAAGGAAGTGAATTTCATTTAAGCATCACTCAAGATTAGATCTAACCCCATTCAAGTTTCTAATTTGAATACGTGGAATGCACAAAAGTGAGAAGTCAATACTCCAAAATAATTTGGGTTGTTTGACAAATATCTTGTTGAACTCACATCATGATCATATGATCTTATGCAAGACATTAATCAAAGTAAATCAGATTTCAAGTTCAATTTGAAAGAGGAGAATGCTTTGAATAATAAGTATTTCGTCATTTGAAGTCAAGAGTTCGCAAGGTTACATAATCCTTTAAGTTGCATTCGTATCTTCATTCAAGTTCTATTTTACCATTACAAGAAGACTGCAAACATTATTCCATCATCGTTTTCAAAGGGAAAAGAAATGGTATATGATGACATTCAAAGTGCATCATATACATGAAAAAAACTACATAAATATATGCCTATCCCTAATACTAATCTTCATCTTCAGTGGTCTTCATGTTTTCTTTTCCAGACTGTTCAATAACTTCTTTGTTTACATATAATACTTCTTCAATTCTCTTCAAGTCCTCCATGATCAAGGTAACTTTGCAATTTGGTTCTCACCCTTAACATCAAGCCTGCATGCTGCATACGATTAACAGCCATCTGAAACCAATTCAGAAATCAAAGCTATCTTGCAAAACAAAAAAATAGAAAGAAAAATCAGAATTGGCAACTCAGCTTATGAAAAGAGAAATTCAAGAAAGAATATCAGAAATTCAATCAGGAGATATCAGAAGGAAAAGAGACCATGTTCCATTCATCAATAAATCAGCCATTGTTTCAATACTGTGCATCAGTTTTAAATCAGAAAAGGTGATATAAGAAAACAAAAAATCAGAAAATAATGGGAAAAATAGCAGTAGGTCAAAACTGACAGTTAACTGTCAAACTAACAGGAAATAGAAGACCAGTCCAGTTATCAGGAAAATGTAAAAAGAAACCGTGTGAATAGAATAACAATAATCCAGCTCAGCATAATAGAAAATAACAGAATTTTAGAACCGCTAACTAACCTTCAATTTCAGCTAGCTTCTAACAGGAAAATAATTAGCTATTTTTTCTAACATATTTTTGACTTCCTAACGGCAACTACTTTAACCGAGTCTCTTCATAGCAGAACTAACAAATTTGCAGCCCAGGACTAACTACTAACAATTTAAACATTCCTAACGGATTTCACAACTAACTCTAACCAATTCTCTAACCAACCTTTAAACAGTTAGTAACTAACTTTCAACTAATTTTCTAACTATCAAATAAAACTTCAAAAATTTGTAACTAACAGGACTCCAACTTCTAAAACAGCTTTCTAACAACCTATAACCAACTTTCTAACTCTTAACAATTTCCTAAAAGGTTCCAACAAATTTCCAACAGCCCATATAAATTCAAGAATATATGCAAATCCAAACAAAAAGGAAAGTGCTATTTTTTTTACTGTCAACTCTAACTTCTCCTAACCAAATCTAACCACACTAGCAGATTTCAACAAAACTTCTCAACAGAAAACAAAAAATCAAAACCAATAAATAACTAACTCATAACTATTTTCTAACAAATTTTTGACCACCTAACTAACTTCCTAACATAATTTTTAACCTCCCAAAACTATGCTGCTAATAGATCCCAGCCATCTAGATCCCTAACAGAAATTCAGCAACCAAAGGCCAGGATTGAATTCATTTTCTAACTAATTTTTAGTTCTAACAGAAGTTTAAGACAAAAACAAACTCATCAATTTAGGGGATCCAGGAACATTATGCAGAATCAAAAAATACCAGAAAAATTCTCTGAAATTCTCTCTTCTTCCTCTCCCTGCATCCACTCTCCAATTCGAGAAAAGCATCACAAAAATATCTCTCTTGGATCTTCTTTCTTCTTCCTTCCACAATTCTTCAATGGCAGAGGAATCACCTTGCACCTTCAACTCTCCTCTTCCTTAGTGTAACACATTCTTCATCATCAACTTGCAATTGCATCCTCATCCGTAACGACCTCACATGATTCATCATCTTCATAACCACATCTTCATCATCAACACTTCATCAAGATTCTTCTTCATTGTTGTGTCTGAATCAACATCACCACATCAATCTCCAACTTATTCAACATCAACATTTCATCATCTACACAGAGCAATAACAACATCACAACGCAATCATAGAAACACAGAGAAGCGGAAACCGAGGAAGAAGCGATTGTCGAGGTGTCAAACAACATACATGAATCTCTAGGGATTATTTATTTGGTATTCTTGTTACCCGCCATCACAATGAAGGCGCTCCGGACAGAACTCTGGCTGGTAAGATTCTCCATCCTCATCGTGTCGAGCCCGTTACCTTTTGTGTGATGCATAGTGTAATACGTTGTCAACCCTAACGCGAATCGATTTTTGTTTAGCCGTATATGTTGTTTATCAGATTCTGATTGGTTTAGTGTATGAACGAATCGATGATAAGGGTGAGCGTCGCGGTAGAGAACGGCAGAGTCGTGTCAGAGATTTGAAGGAGAAACTGGCTGCGACGTTGTTTTGAGATAAGAGAAGAGTTTGTTCGTGAGGAGTTGAGAAGAACATAATTTCACCCAAATCCTTTTTTTTTATTATTTGATTTTTTTTAATTTGTTTTTTTATAAACTGAAACAAAAATTGAGCGACATTAGTGGTGTTGGACTATGCTGAGTCTGTTGGGCCTCTGCACCTCTCACTTCACCCATAGGTCCGTTTTGTTTAATCCCAAGGCCTACTACCATTTTGTTTGGCATAGCTATTAACTGAAGAACCAAAAAGAACTCCTGGACCTATTCTGTTGGGCCTAGTGCCCAACTTACTACTAAAGCACCCCATGGTTCAGCAATGCACCCCCTGATCATCTTATGCTGTTTGTTATATTTAGGATTTTGCTTATGATTTTTTTTATATATGTTTTTTGATGATAAAAATGATAAAATCAATAAAAAATTGTTATATTTTTTTTATTATTTGATTTTTAGGAATTAAATCTCGATTATCCGATCACTTGAGATTTGTGATTCACCTTTGCTTGTTGAGATTTGAATCTTATGCAGGATATATGAATGTGCTTGAGATTCGAATTGTGATTTGTTTTCACATCACCGATATTTCAACACTTATCCCGAGCATTTGATTTCTGACTCTTTTCTTTTCTTGGTGAAGTTTACTCGAAGTTTTTCAAATTTCTCTGTTTTTTGCTTGCTTTGCTACAGATTGATATATGTTTGGTATTTTCTTTTGTTTATCTCATTTCTCACTTTACTGCTTTCTAGATATCATGAGAAGTAGGAAATAAAGAGCGTGTGCTTGAAGTTGTTGTTTAAAGACCTGTAGCAGGCATTCCACACTTCATTTGCTATATGTATTGTGCTTTTGTTTGTTTTCTTGGTTATTGATCGATGAGTCACTCAATTTAGAAATTGAGATCACGACTTCACTCCCAGTGCATGCTCCCTATAGGATTTTATTGCTTTCCTTTATTTCTTGTTGATCGATGAGTCACTCAATTTAGAAATTGAGATCACGACTTCACTCTCATTGCATGTTCCCCGTAGGATAGTTTTGTTAGACTTTCTTTGCATGCTAACTTAGATAGGATATCTCTAGGTGTGTTCTCTTGAGCTTATTGGCTTGCTTGCTTGATTTCATCTTTGTGTGCGTGTTTTGAGATGATATACCCTCGGCATGTTCCCTTAGGAGCTCTCGATTTAACCATAGATGATGATTCAAGATAGACATAATTTTAGGTGATAGACCCTTGCTATGCTCCTTTAAGACTTCTTGATTCATCTATAGATGATGAGTTGAGATAGACATTAGGTTTGTTATCCAAGAATGTCAACTTAGGGTAGAGAATCCCCTTCAGAGCTCAACTTTATGATTAATCATTGTATGATAACATTAGAGATAAATTTAGGTTAGTCTCCCTTTAGACTTTTCTTTCCCCTTTTGCATTTGCATTAAAACAAAAACTTCTTTTTCTTGCAAACTTCAAAACACCTAAAAATTACTAATGAGAATCATACCTTTATTGAGCATGGAAAATGATAAGCGGGTTCCTTCTCGATCTTATTGTTCTTCTATTCTAAGCATTGGTATGGTTCAAATCTCAAAGACTTATTTCATAAATAAGTGGAAAATGGTTAAAATCTCTCTCTTGAGATCAATTAGTTGTTATCCATAGCAAAAGCACCAACAAATACAAACTCTTTTTCCTTTGGGCTTTTCTTTCGAAACTCTTTTTAAAAGAACATGTTAATTCACTTTTGTGTTTATTTTTTTAGTTTACTCATTTGTACATGTTTATCTGAGCATATGTTTGCATTGCATTTTATTGCTTTCCATATTGATTATCTGTTGTGTTGGCTTCTGGTTTTCCATGTTGGGTGGGTGTTACTATTAAGGTAAAAGACCCAGTACCCAGGCCAGAGTGCACTAGGACACTAGGAATAAAGTGGGGGCATGACGGCTATAGGACATGGTCTGATTAGTGCAGTCATGTCATATACCATGCTCAAATGAGGTTCAAATGAATAACTATTGACAACCACGTTTGTGGGTAAGGCGATAGTACTTTCAGGTGGACCCATGATTTTGAGTTACTGTTGACCTACCCTGTCCTAGTCTTTATCCGTGAGTGGGGAGGGACTTGATTCTTACAGGTACATGTGGTGAGTATGTTCTAATGGTGACTGTTGTGTTATGTCGGTGACTATGGTTATTTGGTTATGTTCTGGACCTTTGATCTTGATATATTCAACTTGGCCGAGGATTATGAGGTTATTCATGGCACTCGGTTCCATTATATACTGAAATAGGTGCCAAACTTTTGACCCTGTGATATTCGGATTATTCAGCAGATTTATACAGTCGTTATCCAGAGGATTATACAGTTGTTATGTTGAACTTTTGAACCTATATTATTGCACCTTGCATCATAGCATGTTTATTTTACAAAAAAATAATAATAAATGTGAAAGATTGTATGCAAAAAAAATGTTTGAACATGGCATTGCATCCGCTCACTCACCTCATGCATCTTTATGCATCTATAGCAGGTACTCAGAAAGTACTCAGAATGGGGAATCCTTATTCAGACTCGGAATTTTCTTTTCAGAACTGCAAATCTTGACTTCTCGCCGCTCTATGATCAAATTCAAGTTATGGAACAACTTCATGGAGAACTGGACGAGATGAAAGAATATATGGGATTTTTGATGCTAGACATGCATGATTTGGTCTATGGGAAAGAACTCCTGAGAGAGGAGAACACTCAATTGAAGACTCAATTGAATTTGGTTATGGAAATTTTGGGGACATTGTTGAAGAAAGAAGATGTTTCTATGCCTTCTACAATAGGAGCTACCATTCCTCCCCATAATCTAGAGACTCTTTCAACTCAAGGAGTATCTCCTCCACAACCTTGCATTCCATCTTCCCATCCGCAACCAGTTATCGTTTCCCAAGAGGACCTAAAGGGTAAAGTCTGTCAGTAGAGGCCAAAGCAGCCTAAAGGACAATTTGATCCTATTCCAATGTTGTATGCACAATTGCTTCCTCTCCTGCTAGGTTTTCATTTGGTTAAACTCTGAATCTTCACTATGTACGAAAAGCTCCCTCGTGGTTTTGAAAATTGTGCTAGGTGTGAATTTCATTCTGGGGCACCCGGTCATGATACTGAAGATTGCGTAGCTTTTAAGCACCAAGTCCAAGATTTGCTTGATGCAGGGACAATTCTCTTCACTCCCGAAGTTCTGAGCGTGCAAGTCAATCCAATGACATCTGCTACAGAGAATAGGGTTATGCCTTATCCTCTTCAAAGTTCAATCTCACGACCTGAATCACATCATCCACAACCTATACTCCCAGAAGGTTCTCACCAGCAGCTGTTTACAAGTTATGGAAATCAGTTGGTTAATCAAAATCATAATGTTCCTTATGTTCATCCAGTTTGATATGCTCCTCAGTAGTAAACCTATCGACAGAGACATATGCAATAAGGTAAGCAAAGGGACAGGAAGACAAAGAGGGTGTTCGACATTGTTCCCATGACTTATGGCCATTTATTCTTTCAGTTGCTCAAGATTTCCTTATTGGAACCCAAGCCACTGAAGCCTGTTATTCCTCCTTATCCTATAGATTTAAATCCTAACATGCAATGTGATTACCACGCTGGGGCACTAGGCCATTCCATTGAAGACTGCAGGGCTTTCAAAGAAAATGTGTAAGACCTGGTTGATGCAAAAGCTATCAATTTCGGGCCAACCAGTTAGATCTAAAGTCTTCATTAACTTAGTAAATGTCAAATACTCCCAGATCATCTTCAGAAGAAACAAGTCCATACGGAGACTAGTCTCCTCCACATGGAAATTTCTAGTTTCATATGCAATTCTCATTTGTAATCTTTCTTGTTTTGGTTCAGTACTTTCTTATATGCAAAACTTGCTTATTTTTGAATATTAATCACAATGCATTGAATATGTTTGTCTTGAAATAATCCATTTGTATTCACTCATTAATGTTTTTCTTTGCATTTTGATACTTAACTTTTGATAAATAAAGCAAAATACCTCTAGAGGGAGGATGATGAGTAATATACCAAAAAGTTTCAAATGGTGTGCTTTTGAGTAAAACCATGCTAACGATGTACATGTCTTATTTCAAAATCCCAAACACCAGAGATATAAGGGAGATAGACCCTCGTTAACCCCTTTTGAATCCTCAAAGTAGGAGTTTCTTTTCTGTTAAAAAAACCCTCACATTTAACCCAGGGCAGGGTAGATTTCAGTTAATCTAATTGAGTGTTCAAAACTCATCGGAGTGCGCATCTAAGGATATGACAATGGTTATCCTTTAAAGGGCTGAGGAAAGTCAAAACCGCAATGGTTAACCCTCATCTATTAGCAGCGTGCATTAAAGAGAGCTATATCCCAATGATAATCTCTCGCATTAGGAGGACGAAAGATGATGATACCACAATGGTTATCCCTCATCAACTAAGCGATAAGGCAGTCACTAGTCTCCCAACAAGCCAAAAATATCAGGATCACGCGATTTGGTAAAAATGAGGAAAGAAAAAGACAAAAAGCCCCGCTAAGTCAAAACTTGGAGAACAAGCCGCTTAGGCAAAACTCAGGGCATTCCGCTGGACTTCAAAATCAAAAGCAAAAGGAATTTGTCCAGACAAAATTTAGGGAAAGCAAAAAAGTGTGAAATGCGAAG